TTTGGCAACTTGATGAAACCACTTCGTTCATTTTATTACAATTCAGTAATAAATACTCTCAAGACTTTCTTCCTTCGCGACAAATTTGTCAACAAAATCAACAAATGGAAGTCAAGAGCAGCAGTACCAGACCGCTTATTTGATATTTGGGATGGGCGTGTCTGGAATGAGTTCAAAATGGATGATAGTGACAGCATTCCTTTTGTTCACTCTTCAAACTACAATCTTCTGCTGACAATGAACGTAGATTGGTTTCAGCTGTATTCCTACAGCCAATATTCCTGTGGTGCAGTTTATTTAACAATTCAAAATTTGCCCAGAGAAGAAAGAAATCTTCGAAAGAACGTCATCTTGGTTGGATTACTTCCTGGGCCGACAGAACCATCAACGATAGAGATGAATAACTATTTAAATCCTCTGGTTGAAGAACTGTTACTGCTTAAGGAAGGTGTAGGAATGCAGACGAAATGTAATGGATTACAAAAGGTTAGGGCAGCATTAACCCTAGTTACCATGGATTTGCCTGCTCAGAGAAAGTGTCTTGGTTTTACCTCACACTCCTCCGCCTATGCTTGCCACAAATGTGATAAGAAATTTGAACACTTGCCAAATGATGCTTATAGACGCAACTTTAGTGACTTCAATGACCATGAATGGGTACATCGTACCAATGTCTCTCATCGAGTCAATGCAGAACGTTGGTTGTCTGCCTCCACTTTGACTGAACGCATAAGATTGGAGAAGAGTAATGGTACCCGTTGGAGTTCGCTCCTTCGTCTATCTTACTTTGACCCAGTTCGATTTGCACCCGTTGATGTAATGCACAATTGCTTCCTTGGGACCGCAAAGAGGCTTATGCAGAAAGTTTGGAGGAATCCAGACTTCCACATTCGTGACGAGACAGAGTGCATTATTACTAGAAGACACTTGGTTGAAATGTCTGAGTTGATGGAGAATCTTGTTTTACCAATTGGTTATGATGGCTCGTCCATCGCAAGAAAAATTTTGGTAGGTGATGGGTTCAGTTATATGAAAGCTGATGAGTGGAAAGTATGGATAACTTTGTTATCTCCTTTCTTGCTATCCATGAGGATGAAGCCAATTTATTTAGACCATTGGATGTTGTTTGTAAAGGCTAACGAGTACCTTGCCAGTACGAGTATCTCGAAAGAGGAAGTCGAAGTGGCTCATTCAAAGCTGAAGCTGTTCTTAGAGCAGTTTTCAGTGGTCTATGGTAATCCTGGTTTGTTGACTATTAATAGTCACAACCATTTGCATATTAGGGAAAGTATCCTCAATTATGGTCCAGCTATGTCTCACTGGCTATTTAATTTTGAGCGATATAATTGTGATTTGAAGGGCATCGTGACCAACAAGAAAGGTTGTGTTGAACACACCTTAATGAAGAAGTTTTTAAGTTCAGTGCATGATGAAGACTTTTTTAATTCTCTGCCTGAACTTATTGAAGGACAAGAAAGATGGAGGGGCCTTTTTTGTGGTGAGTCGAAGAGGTTGGGTAGCGGTGTTGGCGAAGAAAGTGATGATGAGGATGACGAAGAGACACCTGAAGCTAATGAAGAAGAAGAAGATGACTCGGGATTTAATATCCGGTTATTCTTAGAAAATGAAGAAAGCGGTGATGAACGGCTCTATGGATATGAGTACATTCCATCAAGTGTTGTCAAGAGCGTGAAGGTGAAACTTCGTGAGACAACAATAGATAACGATTCCTTTAGATACCTTGTAGCCTATTACAATAGTGTTTATTTTGGTATGACAATATTTGTTGGTGAATCTGCTTTAGCAGTTCCCAGCTATAATGATGTCGAAGGTCGAAGTGTTGTTAGTAGGAAAATTTGGAAGTTTCCTTCCTTATCCATCTTTGCTAATCATTATCGTTCCGTTGAAGGTGGCTCTTCAAAAAATAATTATCGAGGATCTTATGCAAGCATCTATTGGGATGATCACTCTGATCGCGACGGAAATAACTCCTCTATTCGTAGACCGGCTCAGATCCTTTATTTTTTTTGTCATGAAGTAAAGTTGAAGGGTGATGATGATTGTTGGTCTTCTCAAATGCATGTGTTTGCAATGGTTCGGTAATTTTTTTTTAGAATATAAAATAATACAGAAATAATTTTTCTCTTAAATTTTAGTTGATTTCGTCAAGTTGAACAGCCCCTTCGAACGTTTGAAATAGCTGGAATAGAAACCTGGAGTAGTGAATTTGAAGAAGCATCAAAGCTGTCGATCGTTCCTGTAATGAGAATTTATTCTCCAATTGCAGTGAAGCTAAATTATATAGACAATGGCAATAAGCTTCTTATTATCAATCTTCCTCGTAAGCTCTTGATTAACTAAACCTTCCTCTCCTTTAACAATTACAGTTTCTTTTCCCTTTTTTATTTTATTTATCATCTTATTAAATTTGTTCAATTTGACTTATTATAACAGCTATTCTTACCATTGGGAATATTAGCACTTTGCTCAATTATCATGTCTGAATTAAAAAATATGGAGAATAATTTACAAGAAAAGGGATATTATTTGTCAATTATGATATGTGGATACTCATCTTTATTAGATATTATTGCGAAAGTAACAAGATGGAATGCATTGGGCAATGAAGTAAAAAGACGTAAGTTTTATTTTTTATTTTATTTTATTTTATTTTATTTTTTTTATTTTTTTTTATTTTTTTTTTATTTTTCAAAATTATCTTTTTGAAAAGGCTTCTGGTTTAACTGACCAGCGAGGAAGAGATGCCAGGACGTTCAAATCCATTGGGATGTCAACGACAACGTCGTTGACAGGAGTCCTCTTTCCCTTCTTAGAGAAATCCTTACATTTGTCGAGTTCATGATAGAACTCGTTCAACTATAATGAAAAAAAATTAGGTAAATTAATTATCTAGCTATAATATATTTATAATTTTAATTAATAATTTACATGCTCGGTTCTCCAAGAAGGAATCTTTCTCTTCCTGGTGAAGACAATCTCTTCCTCGACTCGATCATCTTCTTCTTCTGACATATATTCCTTTCGAAGAAGATGATCCCAGTCTTCTTCAGTCATTCCAAACTGGAGAGCAAGTCTTTTCTTCTTCTCTCCATGGACCTGCTTTCTTCTCTTGCATTTCTAGATTTGTAAAAAAAAAGTTAAGTACATTTGATTGTTAGATACAAATATATTAAAAAATTATATGCTTACCCAGGCCAATCTTCCCTTGATCTTTTTGGAATGACTTTGTTCAGCAAGCTGCTGGTCAGTTAACGTCGCCTTTCGTTGATGGACACTTCGAAGATAATCGAAGTGTCTTCTTATCCTCTCCGAAATGTCCTTTACATCAATAACCAGATTATCATTACTGGTTATTCTTCTTTCGTCCTCAGAAATTTTTGCAATTATAAAATTTTTTATCAGCATATTCGTATCTTTATCTAAAGATATGCTGAAATTAAATGCAAATCCTTTCTGTTGGACGAAAGAATCATATGCCTTTCGGACTAATCCCTATATAATTAATAATGGTTATAAAATGTAAGTAATTTCTATAATTTTTATAAAGTTTTTTTTTTTCTTCATTTACGGTCTTGTACAAATCCTTGGGGACTTTTTGGCCAGAGGATCTTACTGAAGATCCACTGGCTTCAACTTTTTCTTGCAGACGCAAGACTGTTTCTTCCAAACGTTGAATTCTTGCTGTCAACAAAGCAGCATTACTGTTACTGGTGACAGTTCTTCCTCTGTTAAGGTGTTGGGTACCAGAAGTAGTTCTGATAGCAGGAATTTGGTGAGTGTTATTGGAGGTAGACATTTTGATAGGTAAAAATAAAGGTTCGTGAGAAGAAATATAGAAATAATATAAATATATTGCTAAGACTTTTTACATTGTGTTGTGATTGTAGTAGCCTTTATAATTAAGTTAATAGAAATAAACCATCATTTATTACATAATAAAGAGGTTGTTCAAATAAAACTAATATATCGCGCTTCACAGCATAATATTCATTCTACTCTCAGTTTTGATAATAGTCATTGTTTGAGTATTCGAGCATTCAAAATAATTATATACATTATATTATGTAATAATAATAATTTAATAGGATTATGATTGTTATATTGAATTACGATTATTGATACAAGTCGTACATATTATATATACATCCATAACGTTGTATATTGTTATAGAGGGAAGATACACTGTAAATTAATATTAACGCGTTGCTTATCCCAAAGACAATAATCGTGTATATTTTTAATATCAGCAACAGCTCAGGCAGAAATCTGCATACTGCATGCAGAGTTATTCGGAGACAAAATTTGTGCATATTCGTGCATATTTGTGCATAAAGGCTTTATTATAGCAGGATTCACTTATCTAAATCACACTCCAATCAATATGACTTACCTCATAAAAACATATAAATAGCACTCGTCATTTTTCCATATTTTTTTTTCTTGGTACAATTTTTGTATTATTTTTCTCAATAAAAACTACTCGAAGTTTTCACAGACTTGTCTTTTGTCTTTTTCTCTTCATTTAACTTTTTGCTATCAAAACACATTGTATATATAGAGTTTGCTGCTATTCAATAATTTAGTTCGTTTTATTTCAAAAGCGGACCGAAAAAAAATTTTTTTTTAAAAAAAAAAAGAGGTAATCACATCCTTTTTTCCTTTTTTTTTTCATTTTTTAACACATTCGTTAAACTACTAATTTTTTTTTATTGTAATAGATGTTCATTCTAATATTGATAGCTATTACTCTTTTTTATATATGTATTTAAATTATAGGTCTTTGTTGATTATTTCAAATTGTAAGTATTTACATTATTTTGAAAATATATGTATCTTTTTTTTAATTTTTCTCTTTTCTTAAATCAAAAACAACTAAAATGAAACAATTAAATAGGTATGTGCTGGTCTTTATTATGCAGCAGCAATATTTGATTCAGATCTACAACAAAGACTTGTATTATTTATCTATTGAAAAAAGGTATATAAAATAACACCTTTATCTTTAATTATTTCAATATGTGTATTAACAATTCTTTATATAACAGGGAGGTCAAGTACAAGTGTACATCATTCTAATGTAACATTGAAAGGTATAGTGTGGGAAAAAAAATAATAATACCCGAGATTTAACTAATATTCTTTTCTCTGCAGCACAAACATAGATCTAGCCTTTTGTATTTTTTTTTTTTTTTTGGTAAATATGATATTTCTATACTTTATCATATGTTAGCTTTTATTAATTATTTATTCTATTAATAGTGTATGCTTCTTTTGTAAATGGAATACTTTTCTGTTGATCACTTCAATTGCTACTACTTTTTGTTTCTGTTCTGTATGATAATCCTTGCAATCTCTGTGTTCTTTTTCTTTTTTTTCCCCAAAGCCCGAAAGGATTCTTTAATCAATGGCCATGTTATCAATAGAATATGTATTCAAGGTAAGTGTAATATTTTACATGTAATGCTTATAGCATACTCTTTTATTATATAATTATATTATTATTATATTATATTATATTATATTATATTATTATTATTATTATTATTTTATATGTACCAATTTTTTATGTAATAAATAAATAAATAAAAAAAAAAGTAAATAAAAAGCCACATTTTTTGTAAACAATGTATTTAATAATGTCCAATAAAGAAAGGCAATAAAGAAGCCTATTTAATATAAACAAAGCCTAAAAGGGAATAAAATACCATCTATATAACCCAATAATGTATAACCATGTTTTGATGAGTCATGAAGCATAAAGCCAATGATAAACAACATGGTATGTCAAATATTAGTAAATGAAAAGCAATTATAAAGTACAGGATTTAATCAAAACTTGTAAAAAACAGTACATGAAATATATAAACCCTGTGTGTATCTTGTAGAAAAAAGTACAAGAAATGTTCAAAACTTGTATATATCCTGTAGAAAAAGTGCAAGATTTGTTTATATCTTGATTATATCTTGTATGATTTTGAGGCAGGATTTATACATATCTTGTACATATATCTTGCACATACAAGAAATGTCTAATTCTTGTAGTACATGATATAGTGCAAGATATAAACAAATCCTGTGTTATATCTTGTAAAAAATATACTCAGATGATTGCAGTGAGTAGTAATACCAATAGATCAAAATAACAATATACTTCTTTATCAAATATAAAGAAGTCTAAATACCAAAATACCAAATAAGTTAAGTGAAGATAAGATAATTTTTATTTAATATTTCTTTCGATGTGATATTTATATGTTTTTGGGATAATATATAGCGTGATAATAATATGGGATGATTAGGAATAGAATATGGTAAGATAAATATATGAATAGTTTAAAGTAATAAATAATAAGTAATAACGGACGATATTTGAGAAGGATATTAATGAGGTGATAAAATTGATACAAGCATCTGATGTAGAATAAGGTTAATTTGACTAGAAATGGATCGTTGTGTAACTCTACGCTTTGATCGCTTGGTAGTCGGGATGGTTGGCTTGAATCGTCTTTTGTTAGGCCTTGGTAACAGCTGGTTTTCTATATTAGGGATGCTTGTATTACTGGCACCGACAGTTTTGTCAATTTAATTAGTAAGTATAAACCCGATTCAACTCTCTGTGGTCACTGGAAGCAAGAGGTGTTTCTAGGATATTTACACAGATGTTTAAGCATTAATTTTTTTTCACTGTTTTTGGTGAAATTTAGTTTTTTGGTTTTTTTAATATAAAACTGCCAAATAAAAAATTTATTTATATTAGTATAGTTATTTTATAAACATATATACAAAAAAAACGAAAAGTGTACTGTAAAAACTCATTGTTTTATTAATTTTTATATTTTGTCAATTTTAGCTGTAAAATATATTTTTTTATTGAGAGATTTTAATAAAAATTATTGGCTAAATAAAAAAAATAAAAAAAATTGCTGTATTTTAAAGTACTTTGTCATTTTTTTTGAAAAAATTAAGTATTTTTAGAGCTTATTCTATGAAAAATATCGGTATTTTAAATGTAGATGTCTTTTTTCAAAGTAAGCAAGCTGTTGTAGGTTTTAAACACATAAAAATAAAATAAAAAGTCAAAGTAAAAAAAAGGTTATAACAAAAAGGTATAAAAAAAAAGGTATAAAAAAAAGGTATAAAATAAAAGGTATAAAATAAAAGGTATGAAAAAAATATATAAAAAAAAAGTGGTCCAAAAAAAGGGTAGAAAAAAGAAAATAGAAAAATAAAAAAGTAGAAAAAAAAATAAAGTAAAAATAAACACATATTCAATTTTTTTGAATAATATGATTAATAGATGTTGTCTCTTTATATTATATTCAATAGAATAAAGTATATAAAAATTATTTATATTTGTGTAATTATTTCATCTTTTTTGTATTCAGCAAACAAAATAATAATAATGAGTTTAATGAGTAATGAGCAGATTCCAAGGTTAATGTTAATGTCAACACATTTCAACTCTAATTTTATTTCAATTTCAAAAAAAAAATAAATAAATTATAAAAATACATAGTAATCTGTTTTGAAAATAATCAAGTGAACATCGTATTGTTGCAATAATAAATAAAAAACGATTTAAATGATGAACATGCAAATGTGCTTTGTATTTTTTTTTATTTAAAAAAGAAACATAAAATTTAAATTGTTATTGAAACTCAACTATGTCAAATAACACGAGCCACTGTGATATTTTTTTTTTTTTTAGTTCTTTAGTTTCGTACCTATCTTTATTTAAGCCTTTAAAAACATTATTATCATTAGTCAACATGCAAAACAACAACCAAAAATACAGATGCTATTGTACAAAATGTGCTCAACATGGCAGAGATTATGATGAAGTCTCTAGATCAACTTATTTCAAACATTTAAAGGACATGGCTGTACCTCATTTAAGTATTTATGTATAAATAAAACTTGATTTTAAAGTTAATACTAATCATTATTTTTACCGTAATTTTAAATAAATGACAATATAAAATTATAAATAATAAAGAGGAGCCTATGGACCTCGATGCTGAAAGAGCAGATGCCAGATGTATGTTAATTATGATCATTATTATAACACTACATATACGAATAATTATTTATATAATAATATATTTTTCAATTTCTAGTTACTTCATGTGATTCTGGTTCAAATGAAGAAGTTTTTGAAGAAGGTAATAATTTCTAGTAGAATCTAATTAACTCATATATATTAATTGTAAACATTTAAATAATAGGCTTGCCTTTTGTCAGCTTGTTGGATGATTCCAACTTGCCCAAAGAGCAATTGCCATTCATCTTCTTTATGATGATGGTAATGCTTATTCAAGAGCAATGCATTACAGATAAAGGCATCGAATTGATGATGACCTTTATTAACGTTGCCTTGAGAGATTGTAACCAGCAGTATCGCTTTCCAAAACGTGCTGCTACATTTTATAAGTGGTGCCAATTAGCAAACTTTATTCATGACGGGCTTAAACAATATGTTTCTTGCCCCGAATGTCATGCAATTCATAGCTATGACACCGAAGAGCAGAAAGTTCGCCTCCGTGGCAGACTATTATGCAACAAAAGACAGGGCCCCTTCCGAAACGCTGAAAGATGCCGACAACCTCTTTTCGATACAGAATCAAATAAGCCTCTCAGTCGTTTTTTTTATAATTCAATTATTAACACTTTGAAAAAGTTTTTCCTTAGGGATAATTTTGTTGAAAAAATCACCAGTTGGAGGAAAAAAAGACAAACAGTTCCAAACAGATTGATGGATATATATGATGAAGAA